CTCAGCAATTGCGCTGATCTCCGATGGTAGTCTGGCCATCAATTGACTTTCAATCTCACCAAGCTCAACACGCTGTCCACGTAACTTGACTTGTGTGTCTTTCCTCCCAACGAACAGAATACCTCCAGAGCCGTCAGGATCGTATTTTCCAAGATCTCCCGACTTGTAAAGACGCCCTTGACGACCAGCATACCCACTATGGCCTGCAGCAAGCCACGACGGGTTCTCGATGAAAGATGTAGCAGTTTTCGCGGGATCGTTCAAATAGCCTTGCCCTACGATAGGCCCCTCGATAAGTAATTCGCCTACAGCACCCACAGGCATTAGCTGTTCGTGGTTGTCCGGGTGAGTAATCCAGATAGCAGCGCCATTTCCTTCTCCAATAGAAACATAATTTCTACCGGTAGCTGTGTCGCTGTTTATTGTGCATCCGATGGTACACTCGCAAGGGCCATAGCCTATTACAATTCTCGTATATTGACCCCAAGTATTGACATCTCTCACTGATGATGCCTCTCCTCCAAGACCCAAGGCGTGAAGCGATTTTATAACATCCGTGTCCAAAATTCGAGCAACTGAAGGGGTTAAGCCTGCGTAATTGACCTGCATTTTCCGCATCACTCCGTTTATATCGTTCAGTCGGTCTTCATCTGATGGGATACAAAGACATCCGCCATTTCCAAGAGTCAGTAGCATACTGTCAATGCTGACATCGAAAGCGTAAGCCGCGAAATCAAGAACTCTCGACTCCTCTGTATAGCCAACTGCTTTCGCTCGAGCAACAGCACTGCTTGTGTAAGTCTCGTGTGAAAGCATGACTCCTTTCGGCGTACCCGTGCTGCCAGAAGTAAAAATTATGTACATTAAAGCAGATGGTGGCACGGCCTCTAGCGGTGGACTAGCAGGCGAATCTGAAGAGTTCGTAAATGTGTTCTCTTCTACTACAATAGTCTTTCCATTTGGAACGATAAGTTTTGAGAAATCGTACTGGGCGCGAGAAGTCACTATCAATTTTGCATTTACTTGTTCAGCCATATTTTGAAGGCGCGCAAGCGGAAGCGTTGGGTCAGTCATCAACAAAGTTGCCCCAACTTTCATCACCGCAAGTACAGCTACTATCGTCCATCTCGATTTCTCAAAACACACAGGCAGGACGTCATGTAGCTTGACACCCATTTCTCTGAGAGAGCACGCCAGGAAAGTGGAATATTGATCGATCTGTGCATATGTTAAACTGCCATCCCAGGAATCAATTGCCACTTTAGCAGGTAATTTTTTTGCTTTTTCAGAAATCATATCCTGCATACAAGAGCTGTATGTTGGAGGTAGTTGGTAGTTCCACCGCCAAATTTCGTTCAGGTCACGTGCCGTTGGATGGAGACATTCTTCGATCGAAGCATCGGGGGTTGAAATGCACAATTTGATGGTGTCGACTAGACTCTCGACGAAGTGTGTGACTGTAAATTCTAATATGGTTTCGGTTTGCCATAGGGGTCGGATTTCGAGAAGATCGTTCGTAAAACGTAATTCGAGGTGGAGGACACCCTTTGCTCACTACCATTAGCGACTTGGCAACATAAACGGATTATTTGCTCACTTCATCTATCGCCTCTTCAGACGTTTGGGATAAAGAACTGGTGCTCAGTAAAAGCGAGACAGGACTTGAAATAGTGGCATCCTGTCTTGATACAACTTTCGTGATATGTTGTGAAATTTCTGAAGTAACCTGCTGGACATTATCTTGCGATGTCTTCATTACTTCGCCTAGCGAAAGGCACCCCTTCACGGGCTCATGCTCGAAACTATCCTCTCGAGTTTTGTACGCCCAGTCATAACATATCTGGCTACCTTCATCCTGTAGCCTTAAAAGCACGATGAGCCAGGATAAAAGTAAAATTTCTTCTCTCATGCCAGTTCTAGTAATGGCCTGATCACACGAAAGACCCTTGACATTGAAAGCTCTAAAGCCTTCGCTGTCAGGCTGGCCAGGTAATAAGTCAACAAACCCATTTCCAGGTGAATGTTGACTTTGTAAATCATCAATATGTACAGAACCCATCCTGTCGACAGCCAGAACTTATGGTCGTGGGGTTTTGGCGGTGATCTGAGATTTGGAGGGGAAAAGCTGAAATTCACCCGTGTGTTCAATTCCGTTAAAATTTGCACGGGTTGCACTTTATTGAGATATTATGTTTGATTCGGAATCGGAGTGCTCGGATATTAAAGATCATGATAGCATACCTCCTTCCTTTGAGAGTAAAGCAGCAAAGCCACTATCTCTGTTGTTATTTTTGTGCTGGTCAGGATCAATATCCATATTGCGTTACGTGTGTGGGTGCGGCATGATAGTGCGACTTTGAGCATAGAAGCTCGCCAAACACGCAATCACCATGACTCAACTGGAAAGAACAGACCGGGAAGAGTGACATCGTTTTAGCCTACAGTTCAATGAAGCTGTTGGTTAGTGAGTTAATATAAGACATAAAATATTCATCCTTGTTGTTTGACAAGATGAAATAATGGGACTTCTCCATTAGCTCGAGCCTGACTGTTCCCACTAGCGGATATCCCAGTATTAAATTTTCACCCCGCTGATCCCATGATTGTCATCGGATCTGATAATAATTAGCTAGCCGAGCTAGTATCAAAATCCACATTACACGAATTAGATTTTAGATGACGTAAAAGATGGACCCGGACTTCTTTCCTATAACGTGGTTTATCAGTGCGTGGCCCATATCAGTGGATGGCCCACTTTCACCTCAATTTACACTTTCAAATTTATATTTTTTAATAATCTTTAAATCAATTGATTAAAGCTATTATAAATCTAATAATCTAAGATTTATTATATTATTTTTACAGGTTTTTATATTATGATTTATCTTTCCACACTTGCTATAATATCAATTAAAGAATGTCTCTATATTGAAATTTCCTTTATTTTGATGTTTATCGTGTTGAATTTAAATATCAATCTTTTATTGAAATAATATATCTATAGCTTTCTATTCAATAAGTATTTCTTTTTGATGTAATTAGGTTTTTTTTGTGTGTCAATGTTTACTTAATGTTTTATTTGCCTTTCGAAGTATATGAATCTTTGTACTTAAAAGTATATTCTTATATACTAATTTCTTTGTACTTTTAGCTAAAATTAGTATAGTTTCAAATAAAGGTATAGAAGAGCTTGATTGATAATAAGTTATTTGAGATTTAATTAGTATTGATTGAAAAAGCACTTTTGTAGGATTATAAAGTGTTTGAAAGATTCAAGATTCTAAATTGGGAGGAGGAGGAATAGGTGTATGGATTCGAATATCTAATTTAGAAAGTATTATTTCAGGATTGAATAAGATTAATTCTGTTTCTCGAAACCCTGATTTCATATTCTGATTTGTAATTGATTGTTGATATGTAGTTTTGAAAGCTATAAAGAATTCGATCTTTGAGATATGATTGATATATGCTTTTATAAACCCCTCAATTTGTGTATCATACTTTTGTTTTAAGGTATTAAAGTATTCAATATTAAGAGATTAGGTTAAATGATTTGAATACAGTGATAAATATATATATTTAATATTATTCTCCTTGTAATAATTCTGGAATAATATTGATTTATGGCTTTCATACCTATCTAGCACTAGTATTCTGTATTTGCTCTTAGTTCGATTTCTTGTATATTTATCGAAGTGTTTTAACTATTCTAATCCTGTTTTATTATTTGTCCACTTATTATTTATAGGTTTAATAGCCCAATCTGTAGAAAGATCGGTTTCTGTATACCAATTGGAAAGATACACCTATCCTTGAACTATCAGAAATGGAGGTATAGTATTCCCCTCACTATTGCTGTATATAATTGCTATAGCCTATTCTCAATTGCCTGGCTGTATAGCTTTACTTCTGCTACATCTTTTAGTATTAGTAACAATTATATCAATACTTATCATTTTTATTATAAAGCCTATTTCATCGAAGTTCCATAAATCGCAATCGAGAATACTATATTTCGCTCGCATATTCGATATAAGTCGGAACCAGTTTTCAATAAATATAGGATCTTTGTAGAAAGCTTTTTGAAAATCATAAATATATTTAAAATGTGTTTTTAGCTCTATATAATGTTTGATAAATTGATAAGCCTAGAGCTTTCCAATTCTTTTTGCATTTTGAGATTCAAGAATATGATTTACCATATCTTCTATTTTCTTTTGTTTAGATACAAAACCTCTCAAATCTATATCAATTATATACTAAATAATGATTTTCTCTTCTAGTTCCAAGAGATTTTGAGATTTAGATTGAATTTCTGTATAAGGAGGCATATTGTTAATTCTATATCGTAATGTTGATTATGGGATATTGTATAATATTACAGTCTTTTAAATATTTAGCTTTTTATCTTTCTGAATAACTGTGATAGTGAGTAATATACGGGCTTTTTTATTATTCGAATTTATTGTGGGTTGTTAATAAAACGCATATTGAAATGAGGGAGTCGAATTGAGGTGAAAGTGGGCCACCCACTGATATGGGCCACGCACTGATAAACCACGTTAACATATCAATATTCTATTATATTATCAGATTGTGATGAGTTACGGGGCTCAAAATGTTATCAGATCTTTTTCAATCTCATCTGATAAGATAATAGATTACCATCAATGACCTCGGGGGGCGGGACTCTTAGCAATACGGTTACGACTGTTCTAGTTGTCCCTGCTAAGTACTACTTTTAGTATAGATTTTTGAGCGAAATAAATTAATAAGATTGATTAGATATTTATCCATGTCATCTGATAAGATAATAATTACATGTTCTTCCCCACTTTTCCTTGGCTTTCTCCACTACATACTTAAAATTTTCTCTCAACACATGAAAATAGACAGCTGCATCGAAGGAACCTGTCTCGTCTGCGTATCTCGAGCCTATCTAGTACCATTTTTCCTTTCTGAAATAGCGCTGCAGTATCCTGAATCGCCATCACACTCTCTCACAACTTTGAGTTTACCCACTTCGGTGGTCGTTTGTCCACATATGCTTGAATACCTTCGGCAAAATTAGGACTTTTAACCAGACGAGGATACCATTCATCAGCCAAAGTCGACACAGTTTCCTCTACACTTCCAGCTTCCCAGCCCAATCTAATACCCATACGACCAACAATCAACGCATCGGGACTGTTCTTGCACATATCTTGAGCAACTTGAATAGCAAGATCAACAACATCCGTACCAGACTCTGCCACTCGAGTGATAAGTCCCCAATCACTCAGAGTCTGAGCACTTACGTTTCTACCGGTTAAAACCAGATCCGAGGTGCGTTGCAAACCCAGGGTGCGAACTAGCCTCGGTAGACACCCCGCCACAGGGACGATCCCACGCTTCGCTTCGGGCAGAGAAAAGACGGCCGTGGAGGCAGCGACTACGACATCGCAATTGGTTATCATTTCAAATCCCCCTCCCATGCATATGCCATTGACTGCAGCAATAATAGGCTTTTTGCCACTTCGACGTGGGAGTCCTGCAAGACCTGGTGCAGACATGTCATTGACAACCCCTGCTCTATTCATCTCGTTCCATTCTGTTCTCGCCGGCTTTGATTAGTTTTCGTGCAAAAAGTATAATTCGATACTGAATAACTGAATATTGAAGTTTTCTAACCTTGTAAATCGGCTCCAGTGCAGAAGGCTCTCCCCACACCGGTGATAATTCCAACCCAGAGGCTCTCGTCTTGATCAAAAAGCTCCCATACTTTTTGGATTTCCCGACTCGTGGCTTGATCGATACAATTGAGCTTCTCGGGTCTATTCAATGTGACCTGCACAATTCGTTCTTGAGGAAAAGAGACATTGAAATGTTTGAAATTCAAGGATCTTGATCTGAGAGACATGTTAACAGTGGGTCGATGTATAGTATGTCACTATTGCCAGCCACGCAAAATCTCATACAGGTAGAAAAGGATAATATTTTGACTAGTTTTACGAGCTTCCCGTCATGCAACTTTATAATATTTTATTGATCAGTGCGTCCACCATCTACCATCTAGCAGGCTCGAGGCAGGTAAATGTATGTATGGATTCGTAGTGCGTTCTTAATTTCTTGTTTAGTACATTTTCCTAGAAAGCTTTCTCTCGCTTCGACATCCCTGAGACTGAGACTCCATTTGAAGCACAATCGAACTGGCTCGCAATTGTGAATTTGCGGTATCGGAACATCGGCTTGAGAAAGGTATGGATGCAGTTGTAACTTAGTAATAGTTACTATACGAAAGAATATGTAGAGTTGCAATTACCCTGCTCGGTCCGAGTATCTCCTGTTATTTGTATGGAAGTGGGGTTTATGAGGTACATACCAAGGTAGGTAGATCAACGACATTGTGTTTGTCTTGCCCCGGCATTAAATCCGTAACAAATCTAGAGCGTTTCTCTGTTTTGCTAGACCGATATTTCGTAAAAGTCAAAAAGCCAGGAATTTGCCTTGGTCCAATCCTCATGAATGGTGTTACACGATCCTTGGTGAAAATCATTATTACGAACCTGTAAATAAAACAGCTGTGTGTACTCGTGTAGACCATGTTGTAGTTCTTAGTGTCTTATTTACATCCAAACTCTTTCAATAAACCGCCGTGACAGTAACTTATCGCGTCTCTATATTCTCAATAAACTTCACATCACAAACTTTGCGAGGATGGCACCACACAAATACCCTCTGGTAAAATTACCACATCCTTTTTTGACTACATATCGAGTAAATACCAATACGGAAACAACACCAGCTAAACATACTTTGACATTGGATAGTCAGCAACCCACATCTGTAAAGTCTTTACCTCAACCATTACATTCCGATTCTCTTTCATGGCTTGATTTGGTCACCAGGCGCGAAGAGGAGTGCCCCCCTCTATCTGATAATACCGCCTGGGGAAGAGCATGTCGAAGCCCACAAACCACGTTCCAATGGACTGGAAACAATGCTCCTACATTGGGTCAAATCTGGAATGTTGTCCACGCAATATATCTCGCCCACCCAACAGTAGAGTATTTCCGATTGACTTTGAGTGGCTCCGAGAAGGAGGTTATCCGAAGCGAGTTGCTATCTACTGGTTTGGGAATTGAGCACCCAAAACCATGGCGTTTCTCAAGCGCAGCAAAAACCGCATCGCCCACCGAAGAATTGTTAATTCTCCGAGGTGCATTCTGGCAAGGAGCTGCCTCACCACTTGGCCCTCGCCCTATCTGGGTAATTGGAGATGGTACCGACGGTCCAGTCCGAGGATCTCTAGCCCAATATCCAGTCATGCCCGAGAACTACCAACTCACCATGAAATTTCCCGAAGAAGCCGTTTACACTCACCACCCAACACGCCGTCCCAAGCCACATCCGGGATCCATTTGCTACAGTCGCTATATTCCCGAATTGGACGAGCATTTCTCTCTCGAAGTGGTTGATTGGCAAAACGATGCACATCTAAAGACCTTCAACACGTGGCAAAATGATCCTCGTGTTGCTAAGGGCTGGAACGAAACTGGAACATTGGACCAGCATCGTGAGTATCTACGCAAGTTGAACTTCGATCCTCACGTGCTGTGTCTATTTGGACGCTTCAACGATACCCGCTTCTCCTATTTTGAGCTCTACTGGGCAAAAGTAAGTTGGCATCTCCTTTTATGACTCGTATTCTGCGTTATCCCATTGATACTGACATGATATCATAGGAGGATCACTATGGTGCTCACTACAACGCTGGAGATTATGATCGCGGGCGCCACTCTCTCGTCGGTGATGCTTCGTTCCGTGGCCCACAGCGTGTTAACGCCTGGTATTCAAGCTGTATCCATTATGTATTCCTCGACGATCCACGAACTGTGAATGCAGTTGGTGAGCCCAAAGCAACAGGTGGTACCATCTTGTCTTACGAGAATGCCCAAGGTCTTACCATTGGAAAGTACGTTGATCTGGGACACAAACGATCGGTCCATTCAATCTGTAGCCGGGAGAAATGGTTCCAGCTATGTCCTCTGTTCTGGGATGGAAGAAAACAGCCATTGGAATCTGCAGATCGAGCAGCGTGGAATTCGATTTACGCCCCGAAGTTGTAAGATCCAAATAGCCAAGATGAACTATTGAAATGAGAATGATCTGTATATATTAGTTGTTGGAGATGTAAAAATCGGGTTCAAAAAGCGAGCAAACCATGTAATTTCATTAATAAAAGCGAATTAAAACCAGTATGCATTCTTTGTTGAGGCGAATTGGTAATAAAATGCCCTCTGACCAAAGTTATTGTAATTTGTTAGTCTCTTAATAAAAAGTTATCACAGACAGGAGAAACATTGAGTGATTGCTACAATCATTACTTTAGTAGTTTATTCCATTGTCAAACAGGAAGGAAGCCAATTCGAACCGCAGAAAGTATGGGTGAAAACAATTTAGCAGATAAAGTCAAACATCTATTTAATTGAAATACGGTCGGCCTCTCCTGTACCAAGAATCCTAGAAAACTCCAAGCAACTCCTACAACCACGATCAGAATCCCAAGACCAGTGCACGAATTTTATAATAGCGGTCTAACAATCGATCCTACAATCGATCTTTATGTACTGCTTCTTCTACTTCAAGCGAAAGAACAGCGTCAATGACCATATATTCTTAACCATTGCCCACAAGACGGAGAATAAGAACACCCCAAAGCTGATCCCTACAATGTCAAAGCCCCTACTGCAATCCCAAGTGCCAGCATGATAATATTTCCCTAAAACCGAGGTTAGCTAGTTAGTATCAGTGCACCTCTCCAAGCCAAAACATATACGAATGAAGACATACCATCCTACCAATTCCCCTCCTAGTCTCACTACTCACATCCTGCAGCCTCGCCACTCCAGTGGGCTTTGCAGTCGCCGTTTCCGTAACAATCACCGTACTCCCCGCCGTTCCACTCGTTGTCAAATCTGCGTTTCCTCCAAGTAATCCTCCATTTCTCACAGGACCAGCAGTCTCTTCACTCTGATGTGAGATCCCACTAGCACCCGGAATCGTGCTCGTGCTAATTATCCTCACCGTTGATGTTCCAAGAGTTGTGGCTCCTACCGCGGTCCCATTAACGATGCCATTGGCGCGAGTTTCACAGTTTGCGTCGGAATCACACGTTGTGCTAACGTGCTGGATATTGGTGCTTCCTTGGCCGTCTGCAAAAGAGCTAGAGGATGATGAATATGAGGATGAGGATGATTTGCCATTGGTTATATCTGTTGAGGAAGCAAAGGAAGCCGTGTCAGGTATGAATGGGATGTTGATATCAGGAAAAGTGATGGATTGAGCGTTTGTGAAAAGGGCGAGGAAAGGAGTGAGAATGGAGGGTTGAAACTGCATGGCTGTAGCTATAAGTGATTGTCTGGTGGGTCAGTCAAAAACGAGAATACAACGAGAATACAACGAGCGACTGGGGCAAGTTGATCTAACCGTCGTGTATTTTATAAACATTTTAAAGCAAGATTGTCATCTATGAGGATTAATCTCACTGGGGGCAAAATTCCAGTGAACAGAAATGGTAGGAGATTGCCTGTGGAATGTAAAAAACGTGCCCTTGGTGGCCAATAACATTCCTGTAAGAGGTTGAATGCCAAACAAACAACGATCATGAAACAATAGCCAGGAACATAATCATCTGCTTCGTACATGGTTCCTGTCAATTGGTGGTCTAGTTTGAAGAAGGCTACCTGATTTAGCGAATGAACACGTCGCATCAATTCTTGACTATATATCCAACCAGATTTGATGGGCAAATGTTTATTATTATGACAAACGACGAATCGCCTTGACAGTTATGCTGCGTAAGTATACATTTATATCCTCCAATTCGACTTCTAGTAGATCGCCAGCTTTGACACTCTCAATATTAAAAGTCTCAGATCCTACCAATTTTGCAGGGGCATCAAAAAAGCTCAGCTTGCCCCATGTGCTACTGTATGTAACATCTTCGCTGGCTACAAAGTTGAAGGTAGGAGGAAGAGGAGCCTCTTTGAATTGCCATGCGCGAATCAGAAAGTGACATAGCCAATGTCTAATAGAATCCCTGTTGCCTTGTTTAATCATTCTTTCGCGAGCATCAAGATGGGAAATGATGCGATCAAGCTCGGCTTTTGTGAATGGAAGGAAATCTTCCTTAATGTTATTTTTAAGATCATGTCCTAAGCGTGCTTCTTCCCGAAGTGCAGCTTGTACTTGCCAATGGAGTAGCAAATCACCGTAGCGGCGCAGAGGGCTTGTACACTTGGCCATCATTTCGACGCCGACTGCCACATGCGGGCCTGGGATAGTGGATGGAAGTATTGTGCCAAGTAATCGAAAATATTGCAGAGCAATATTAACTGGAGGGTGACCATGCTCGTCCAGTGAAGGCAATACGACTTCCCTATAGAATTCCAAGGGATCTTTTTTGCTTGTGTTGCGAGGAGTGACACGATAAGGAATTGGAACCCCTCTATCGTAGCACCATCGCGCTGCGACCTCTGCGGCGATCAACATAAGTGGTGCAACTGCGTCTATTTTTGAACCCGGACTACTAGATTCTTCTTTTTGCAATTGAATTGTTCCCGCTGTGGGCGACACTGATACATTAACATTGGCAGAGCTCATGGAAACACCACCATGAGCTATACGTTGCTTGAGTCGAGCATCACCAATCCTGTGTAGTATTCGAAGGTCTTCCTTGTGCTCGTCAGAAAGCTGGTGGCTTGACAGCATAGTCCTCTTCTCCGAAGTATGGGCGATAGGTGATCCAACAGTACTGGAAGTGGAAGTGATATTGGAGTCTGTAGAATCACTTCCGCTAACGACTTCAGCAACTACCTTGGGTGTCATGAATTTTACATCTAAAAGGGTGCGTGGAGATATCCTTGTATCCAGTATGTCACCATTCAAATTCATCTTGGCGCTAAACGTCAAAGACGGACGATTAGTGTCGAGACTGAGGTTATTTTGCACGAAATCAGGCGGCAATAAGAAGTACACTTCTTTTGGCGAATAGATGGTTTCAGTACGATCTGAAATCTCATCCGCAAACTCACCCTTTGCTTCCAATCGTGATGCAGGATCGGCTGCATGAACATGAACCCAATACTCGTTTGGTGTTTCAGTGCGTTCTATTGATACTCCATCATCAACTTCATGAGCATCTACAGAATCAATACAGTAAACCGGTAGATGGAAGTCCTCTCGAAGAGCCGACATACTATCTTCAGAAGTAAAACAGTCTTTCTGAGAAATATCGTTGCACCCGTGATTATGAACCCGAAGATCATAGGCTACCCGGTTCGTTGTGGGATGAATTTCACCAATTTCTTGCAAGAAAGTCCATGCAGTGCTTTGATCCAATTGGAAATCCTCGTATCGAGCTATGATTCGAAGAAGGCTGGAGCCCGTTGAATTTATTGTGGAGTTGCGATCAATGGTTCGGAAAGCCGCCCATGACTTCAAAAACTCTGTATATGGCGATTTACCAACTTGGCGTGGAAAATCTATTTTCTCATCCGATGTAGTTAACGGTCTAATGGTACCATGGGTTGTGAGTTGACGTGATTTGCGACTCTCGTCTATAACCCCCTGACAATCTTTGACCCAATTAAGTAGAGATCTCTTTTTCAACATCAAACTCGTCTCCGAGGCTTTTTGATGCTTGCGAACTTCCTCGACAACGTACATGATATTCTTTACCTCTGCTTTGGAGCTAATCTCGTACTGTCCGCCGGTTCTAGTAGCCCCCCTCAATTGTGGTCGAAACCCAATTTCATCGCGCATAAGGGAACGATGTAGAGCATACAATACAGGGTATGAAGGTGAACCATTCCCTGCATTTGAATTGCTTTGAGGAATAATTTCATTGGCTAGCTCAATTAATGTAGCATACCGGTAAGATTTATCTTTGGCAACGAGATTGTGAGCATGGTCTAGCTTGGAAAAAGTGCTTTGATAAAGCTCTTCAGATTCATCCCAGAACCTATGCATCTTTTCCAACATAGACTTGGTCGCTTCTCTAGGGATTTGTTGATCTAATTTATGTATATTTGACCCATCCGATTGTCCAGCTTCCGCCAATAATAGAAAAGGTCGAATTGTGTTCAATTCATCGTTGCTAACGAAGCCTGGTACATAAAAGTGTGTAGCTTTCATGGGGCCCTTAATCAAAGTGCCAGACATTGTATAGAATTCGGCAAGTCTGCCGACATCGCGTATATATATTGCAAGTTCTTGTCTCTGCCCTTTGCCACTAGTCGGCTTATGTCAGTTCTGCATCTAAATTCTGAAAGGGGATATAGTGAGTAAACACACATAACTTCAACGAGATCCCCGGGAATCAAAAACCCGCGCCTACTTCCAACATCGACCAAATCATCAAATCTAACAGTCGAGATGTCATCATGCACTGCATCCTCTTCGTCATCGATTTCGAACTTGTTATCCTGGATTCGACTGCTGGCATTGTCCAAACTTCCGGGTGAAGCATCGTCATTGATTGTGACAGGAATATATTGACTGGCATGCTCTGCCTCCCACGCTTCTAGCCGCTTTCTAAGCGGCACCAACCCTTCCTTCCGTCTGTACAAAACATCAGACAAACCGGGAAGTCTGCGAATTTGCGTCTCTGTTTCGGCTCGGCTCTGAAAACTAAGTCAGAAAAGTAAATTTGACCGAATGAAAAGTGTTACTTACTACATGGCTGGTGCTGAACGACTTCGTACCTCGCCTTAATATTGTCTTTTGCCTCGATTGACCATTTCCGTCTAGGCCTTGTAGCAGTTGTCGCCTTCCAACTGTTGCCCCGGAATTAAAGTTTGCGCAACACTTCCAGCAAACGAATGGTCGCACATTATTTCTTGAGAGTTGGGAAGTTCTCAACATAGTCTTCACACACTGTGACAATTGGCAAGCACTTATGTAGACTTTTGGAAATGTGAGGTATTTGATCGGCAAAATTTCTCCGATTCATTGAGATAACGTTTTACACGACGTTATCGCGTTCGCACGTGAGATGATCAAAATCTGGTCCAAGCTCCCTCTAGAGCACAGTCTCAGTATTTATTTTCTACTTTTTCTTCTCTGCACAACGTCAACTGGTAAATCTTTCCCACCAGCCATCAGTTCATAATACTGGCACAACAAGAATTGAAGCTCTTTAGCTATTATATTGAGGTGAGATACATTTCTAGCTGTCTAGCATCACTCGGAAGCTTGTCTTTCTATTACAATACAACTTGGTATGATGAACAAAAATTAGCATGTATTACCTGAAGATATATTGTTTCGACAATATCTCGCTGTGGTCTACACCAAGATCTCTGACTTTTCATAACTTCTTGCACATTCGTATCCTATTGGATCATGGCCTTTGACTGATGATTGTTTCTCACAGATTTTTTTTGGAGAGCATGTCTGACTTCAAGGAAGGACAATTCACTGTTCTTTATTTTGCTACTGCTAGCTCATACACCTCAAAGGATTCCGAGACTTTTTCTGCCCCTCTCCCTCTTTCACGATTGTTTGAGACTTTAGAGGATCGCTACAATGGAATGAAAGACAATGTCTTGCGCAGTTGCCTAGTGACTATCAACTTGGAGTATGTTGATGTTCCAGAGACAGGCTCTGATAGCACGGAAGTAATCATCAAAGATGGGTATGAGGTAGCCATTATTCCGCCAGTGAGCTCTGGATAAAGGAGTGCCATTTGTGATACTCGATAACATTTATGCCTCATTTGAAAGCCCTGTGAAGTCTCTGTTGCGTTCTATTAGCAAATTTAATTTACGCATTTAATTTCAAAAATATTATCTGACTTTCAATGAATACATGGTTGCTCTCGAATAGTCCAAGAGCTTACCCTTTCGCCAGGGCGGCATCGAAATGCAGCTTCGTTGTATGCATGATAATTGGGTGAAGATATTGAGCGACGTGCTGGAGATATATGAATCTCTTATATTTCTTGCAGAAAGTGGGGACACAGGAGAGCTATATCACGAACGTTCTGTCTTCGACTATTGCAGGCCCAGGGGATCATCCCAATTGTTCTTGTGAGATCAGGAGTTGAATCGTTCTGCAAGGTGTCTAGCAGATAGAAGGGTAACAGAATTTGCATGGGAGAAGGCCACAGGAGGGTCAGAGACTGGAAGAGGGCGTGAGAACTCATAGGGCCAACATGAAGAGCGATTCTGAGAGGAACAGGATCGGTAGAAGAATTATGAGACATTCTCTGAATAGATATGGAAGGGAGTGTAGGAATACCCAATGGGGGGTCTGGGTGTCGCGTGGGAGAAAATAATCGCAGAGGGGTAGTGATATCACCAATCTGATGTGTTTAATGGACCTCTCTGGGGAAGTGGAAGATTGGTACATGAAACCCAGAAGGCGAAGAACTTTACAATGTGGATTTGTAGAGAGAGATACTCAAATCGTTAATGAAGGGTCAGCCAAGGCAGGTATCATAGGGCAGGAATCTGAGAGTGGGAAAAAGACAAGAGAGAATGGGGAAAGAGCTACGAAGCCAATTAATTATCGAACTGTGTATCCATAGGCCAAGCCATCACTTCATTTGAGATACGTTGCTCCAAATCTATTCTAATAATGGACGAGATTCTGGGGAATCATCTGCCTCAACCACTCCCGAGTCCTTCTTTTTCCAGAATCTCCATGGATACTGTCTCGATATCTTCCACCACCTTTGGTTTGTTTCTCCAGTTCCCAAGCACTTCATTACGAGAAGGATAATCCCCAATGCCAAAAGTGTTCCATAAATTGATCCAAGAAATGTCAAAAATGTGATGCTGAACCTCGATTAGTCTTGAAACACATGGGATCGGCCTGAGCGCCACTTACGTTGAAACGTGACAACCTAGAGGTCTCGCTCTCAATTCCCATCGTTCAGACCAGAGAGGACAAATATTACTGTTGAAAATAGGTGCGAGGATCTTCATCGGAGATGTATTTGGAACGCAGGTAGAGGATACGGCACACCACGAGCAAGGGCCTACTGACAAACAATCCCAGCAGTCTTGATGACCCCAGCATCTATTGAGCAAATCATTTGAAGTTTGGTTCTCGTCGAATCTACTTGATGTGTTTGTGTCCATCATATATATATACTCAAATGGTCTTGGAGACCATCAGGTTCATCGACTTGAGGTAGTTTTGTGAGTTGCCCCTCAACTAAGGATTTCCGGCTGAAAGACAAGGTCAAATAGAGTAGAGGAGAGTAGGTAGCTTGAAATTATACCAAGGAAGTCTCATCCGACGATGAATTGTTCGTGAGAGGTCGTCGTATTCTTGAATGTCTGATTCTCAAGCAAACAATAAGAGGGGAAGAAACTGGATGAGTTATATATAATTGAGTAAGTAGAGTCGTACTTTGCATACGCTCCAACTTCATGGCTATGATGATTTTACTACGACTACCAATGAATTATCACATATACTACCTTGTATGTAGAAACGGAATTTAATTCCTTTAAATAAATAAACAATTTTTTCCCATACAGATTACATATAAAAACAGGCCACAACTTGAATCTAAAAAGTCGTATGACAAACAATCCCTCCATACATACGTATATTATCGTTATTATTATTCTGTTTTGTTTTATTTGTTTTGTTTTGTTCCTTCCCCAGCTTTTCTCTTACCTCGAACTCGAACTAGCGCTAAAATTTACAACACCGGCTCTTTTGACCATCGCATCCACGGCATCACAACTCTCCGATCGGACAGTCGGCACGAAATCAACAATCGCAATGGAAAATAATCCTTTAAATCTGGGTCAAATTGATCCTCGACTTCGAGATGAATCTAACACAAATTCATTTGCGCAACCTCAACAGCACCCACATTCAGAAGCCCATCACCAACTTCATAATCTAAACACTCAAATTCCTGCAAGCGCACCTCGATTATCTGGCCCATCACCCACACAGCTTGCACAGCTACAACAGTATCATCAACCTATTCACGATGGAGACCAATCTCAAATTTACATGCCTCAAACACCCCAGTCGGCCACTCACACACAAGACGATGGACACATGCTGGGAGACGCGTCGGTTGATCCAAAGCGATCAAGAGCGTGCGAAGCTTGTCGAGGATTGAAAGTTAAATGCGAACCCGATATGATCAATTTCGATGGTCCTTGCAAACGATGCACCAAAGCTAATCGGCAATGCGTCGTTACTGCACCAAGTCGAAAGAGACAGAAGAAAGCAGACAGCAGGGTCGCCGAGTTGGAGAAAAGGGTCGAAGCTTTAACAGCTACCTTGCAAGCAACGAAATCGGCTTCCACACCAACAGTGCATGGTGCTGAATCTAGTCTTGAGGAGCAGGGCCAGCAATTTTCAGCAAGACAGAATCCATATGAGCAAGTTACAAATGGAGGTTTCGCGTCGCCTTACTCAGGCCCTGCTGAATCGAGAATGAACTCCAACGACTGGTCCAACTATCCCAAAGCTTCTCAGCCCGAGAGCCAGGTATTATCTGCACCCCCGATGGTCATGGCAGGTCAGAAGAGGAAGCATGCCGATAATCAAGATGGTACTCCACCTGACTCTTTCATGACTACTAACTTCATGGGGCAGAAGACTCCAGACCCCAATGCTCATCAAGCATCATGGCAGGCGCAATTAAAGCAAACCCCTTCCCACGAATATGCAGATGTGGTAGATAGAGGATTGATAACGTCAGAAATTGCTACCAAAATGTTTAATTGTTATGTTGAAAGAATGGCCCCCCATATGCCAGCTGTCATCTTTCCTGCAGGTACCACTGCTTCTGAGATTCGCAAAACAAAGCCAATTTTATTCTTAGCTATTTTGAGCGCTAGCTCGGGCACAAATTTTCCAGCACTTCAAAAACAGTTGACGAAGGAAGTGATGAGTATCTATGCGGATCGCATCATTTGCAATGGCGAGAAGACATTGGAGCTTATACAAGCTCTTCTTGTCAGCACTCTCTGGTATTGGCCACCGGAACATTTCGAAGAGCTAAAATTCTATCAACTCATTCACATCGCGGCAGTCATGGCAATTGATATTGGAATGGGCAAGAAAGGAAAGAGTGGTAGAACTGATAAAATGAAGAGCGCGGGATTGTGGAGAGATCATCCGTGGCGTCGAACACCATATCCCGACCCCGAAACCGTTGAATCAAGACGTACGTGGTTGGGTTGTTACTTTCTATGTTGTAATGCATCTATGGGTTTACGGCGACCAAATCTTATTCGTTGGTCCCCATTTATGGCAGAATCTGTTGAAGTACTTCAGAACTCGCCAGACGCAGCACCTACCGATAACATGTTATGTCAATGGGTTCTCAGTCAACGAATTGCCGAGGAAGTTGGACTATCATTTTCAATGGATGACCCAAGTGCAAGCATTAGTATCGCCGACCCAAAGGTTCAGTATGCTCTTAAAGGTTTCGAACAAGAGCTTGATAAATGGAGCAAGTCCATACCTCCCGAGGTTCAAACACGTAAGTAGTAAGCTCCATTAATTAAAAATTGATTACTGACAGTGTCACATAGCATCTTTAACCTTGACGGAACATGTAATCAACCTCTATATGCATGAAGTCGCTATGCATGTCGATCATAACGTTGAAGAGTTCAAGCCACCATTCACTGAGGCAGCTTTACATGGCCCTGCAGAGAGCCCGGATGTCTTGACTGCTGCTCATATTTCCGCTCTTTCCTGTTGTTTGACATCCATCGATGGCATTTTTGAAACTTTCCTGCAATTTGAAGTTGATGTCATTAGATGTCTCCCTGTTGCGCACTTCGTTAGAGTGGCTTATGCTGTCGTGGTCCTCATCAAGATGTATTTTGCGGCAGCTAACCCTAACGGGGAGTTGGGCAAGGTTTTCATCAAGGATAACATGAAAGTGGAGCACTATCTCGACGGTCTGGTCGAGGTATTCCGTGCCTCTGCAGCAGATGAGAGATCTCGCCCCGCTGCGAAATTCTTGATGGTTCTCATAATGTTGAAAACCTGGTTCCATCGCCAACGAGAGGGCAAATCGACACCTACACAAAATCTAGAGACTGGCGACTCTACAAAATCTACCGGTGACAATTCTGGAGAAGCTGCGAACCAGCCAGATCAAAATGCTCAACAAATGGGCTCACAACGTAGCGGAAAACCAGGTTACAGTCCTGCCCCTGCGAACACACCCCTCCAGCTTCTTAGCGAAGTCGCAACCGGTAATTCCGGTGGTTCCCGTCCCGACAATCAAAATCAAGCTCAAAACCAAAACCAATACGCAGTTCAACAAAACGACTGGTCAGCACAACAGCAGCAGCCATATCCTCCCACGTACGACCCATCTTTAAACCCCATGAATGCTCAAATGCTTCAAGGCTACGGCGACATATCTGGAAATATCGATCCTTCTTTAGGCATGGATCTAGGCTTTGCAATGGGCGATGGATTCGAACAAGCAATGGGTATCACGTTTGGCGTTGGCGATATTGGGAACTACTTCGGCGAGGATATTTTTGGTCAGTTTATGGGTGGTAATGTTCCGGGGTTTGAAGGTGCATTATAGGAGTGCGGTTCCGCATGTCAGGGCTTTCGATGGCCCTTTTCTTCTCTTTTTCTTCTGGTGGGTAAGGGGGAGAGGAGGTGTGACTCTTGAAGACGAGAAGCAGAGTCACATTTTTTTTTTGTATTTATCACTATGACT